ATCCCTTGCCCACTCTCAACCACCAACTCTCGCTCACCTCGCCTCGCCAGTTGCCGCTGGCTTGCGCTGTGCGTGCGCGAAGTCGCCCGCGGAACTACCTTTTGTCCGCACGCAGAGTACTATGACTATGAGAGCGTAGTTAGGCTAGGTGTGCGTAGTAATCACGGACCGAGACGGGTGGTCCGGTAAAGTACAATCCTACCGATCTAGATTCTAGATCTAGGCTAGCCTCGAAACTAGATCAATGATTTATGTCTGTCTGTCTAGATCTAGACCTAGGTCATAGATCTAGAACCTCGGTCTACCCTAAGCCAAGAAGAACTTTCCTTTTTCCGAAATCACAAAGTTCCCATACCGGGTCTGTATACTTTGTGACTTTGTTCCTGGTTACCGGGTCTGTATACACCCACACCTCATTCCGAAATAAGGAAAAACAGGTCTTGTTTCACACCGGGTGAGAATAGCCTACGCTGGCAAGTCTCACCCGGGGTGAGAGTATGAAAATCTAGATCGTATTATTATTCTCACCCCGGGAGAGGATAGCCACTTTTCCAGGTCCAGTCAGAAAGAAAAGGAAACAATAGTAAATCTAATATAGGCTACAAGAATCTAGACCAGCCAAAAGCGATTTTGGAGGTCGAGACAAGCATGTCACTGTCGTCAATTCAGTCCAGTAGTGTAATACAACAACAACATTAACACTAGAGACTAGATTCTAGACTAGAAGCCTAACACTCAGAACAGTAAACAATGCCCTTTTCTTGTGAGCCACTACTAAACTACTTCACTCTTCAGTCTTTACACACATGCTCCTGCTTGAAACAGAAAAGGGCAGAATCTGACATATTTCTTACCATATAATTGACAATTGGTAACTACATCGAATACTTAAAGCAAAAAAGCGGTCAGTGAGCCTTTGTTCAAGGGCAACGATTAATAAATAAAGAACGTAGAAACCCTACTTTTGCTTCTACAGGCAAAGTAGACGCCATAATGATAACTTTTCCAATCCCAACATCCTCATCGGGGACATGAAAACATCAACGTTCATCTCAGTCTAAGAAAACAAATAATAATGCCGATGCTCGTGCACAGTATTCATACAATAAGTTTTTCGTTTTTTATTTTTCTGTTATAATAATAATGTGGCCCAAAGGTCTTTTCTAAACACTAAATAGTATCTCTCTTGCCCTTTTTAACTCCCAGTGGAGCATAGCCCATCAACAACTTTTGAAGCCTGTCCTGTGCATCCTTTTCTAGCTGGTTCCACGATGTCCCCGCCTTTTCCATTTCCGCTTGTACCGCTCGCCTCCAATGCCTCCATGTCATATTGGTCTTCGAATCCTTTCTTACGATTTCCTCTAAATAATATAAACCTTAGAAAAGATCCCAAAAGCTATTTGGTAATCAGATTATGCTTAGAGGGCCATGAAAGCCACTGTTAATGAAAGCTACTGCCTTCCCTTTTCTGTAGGCTTCCCAGAAAGTTGAGGTAGTTTCGGAATGCTCTCATTATTTTTATCAACTCAGAATGTCTGCAGGGGTGGGCCTAATTTAATATTAGACCTACAGGTTTTAAAGAGCATTAGACTTCCTTTCGAGTGGGAGTTTGTGCTATGTAAAAGCATCGCTCCTGTGTCCTTTTTAAAAAGGTACCGCAAAATGCCGATGCCGTCCCCGTGCCGTTCCGTATACGTACTAATGGATTCCGACAATGATATTTCTGTGTGAGCGATCTGTACCGTCCCGGTGCCGTTCCGCTGCCGTTCAGTTTCCGAGTCTATGGATTCCCAGCTTATGCTATAATAATAATATGATTTGCCACTCACTAGATCTATAACTGCTGCTCTCCAGATGGGGCTGCCACTGTCAGTAGCAAGGCTCTATCCCATGTTGAAGTCCCCAGAGACATTTTCAGGGTGTTCTTGCAGCAGACAGTTCAGAATAAATCACTGCCTTCGGGATTCTGAAACCAGGCTCTTTAACAAGATACCAGCCCTTCTAAGTTGAGTCCTGGAGCTTAGAAAACAAGAATCTCGTCATTTGCCTTTTTTTTTAAAGTGTACTTCGGTGTCCGGGATTTTATCCTGCCATTTGGTACCCAAATTTCTCCTGAGACATTTCTTAAGAAAATGGTTATGCTCTGGCATAGCTTTGCTTCACCGTTCAGGTCCCAGCACCATACAACAAAGTTAAGAGGAACACAATATAATTGTAGACTTTCAACTTTATTAATTGTCTCTGAGGGTATGCCACAGCAGTCCCACTCCCTTATTCTGAGTCTTCCAAATGATGCACTAGCTTTATAATTCATATGTAAAGCTATTTTTGCATCGATGCGGGTATTTGAAAACAGTGTACTGCAAAGATACGTAACGCTGTCTACATTGTTCAGTGTTGTTCTATTACGTTTCTGTTTCTTTGTTACAAACACACATCATGATGCACATTTAAATCTCCTTGCTTGTCGTCTACAGTGTATTGCAGTGCTTGTCATTCTTTTTATGGCCAGCAGCCACTGTTGCCACCTTTAAGAAATTAAAAGTTTCGTACCGCACACCTATTTAATAGGCATAGTAGGCTAAGTATTTCCAAGTTGGGCACTACCTTGGTGATCGACCCACCGTCCTCCAAAATTGCTAAATCTATCACTAGAGAGCGAAATTCCTCAGAAAGGCAAACACTCTAATCTGGTTAGGCCTATTAATTTGCTGTTGCCAGCTGGTGAAATGAAAAAAAAGAAATACCCCTCAACCCTTTTTTTCGATAAAAAGGAGAGAGAGAGAGAGAGAGAGAGAGAGAGAGAGAGAGAGAGAGAGAGAGAG